TAGAGGACGTATTTTGGGTTTGCATTTCATCGTTGGAGACAGTCTGAGGCGCGGAAACACGAACCCATGACCGGCGGACGAGGCGCGCTCGAGCAACTGGAGCTGCACTGCAGTCTGCAGAGCCGCAGCAACGCGAGTACACGACAAGCGGTCGACGAGGAGCGCGCGCGTCAGGTCAGGTGTTCACTTGGGCCATGTTTAGTTGCACCAAATTCCCAACTTTGACACTATGCAAAAAGAAGATCCCCGTTACATCAAACTTGCGGTACATGCATGGAGTACCAAATGTTGACGAAATCAAAAATTAATTGCACAGTTTGGTTATACTTTGTGAGACGAACGTTTTGAGCCTAATTAATCAACGATTGGACAATTATTACCAAATAAAAACAAAAAACTACAGTACGCTACAGTGACATCTCTTTCCGGCGGCGCCGACTTCGGCCAGCAACTAAACGCGGCCTTGAATGCAGGGAGCCTGTCGCCGCGGGCCGCCCATGGGATCGGGATGGGAGAGGTGTCGGCGCCCCGGCGCTCGCCACCCCTGCCGCGCCCGCGCGCGCCATGGGAGTATGGATGAAAACGGTACGGATATTTATTCGACCGTCCGTTCGACCGAACAAATATGAACACTTATCTGGATAGTTACTCGGATATCCGGTTTTTTTTCGGATACGGATACTAAAACGGATATCTTAGGCGGATATCAAATACGGATGTAATATCATCGATATCCGGCGGATATCGGATAATCCGGATAAGTATCGGATATATCCGGATATTTAAAAACGGCTATTATCCGGATATTTATTCAAAATTTAAAAATCACAAATTTGAATAATCCAAACTATCTCAAATGAAAAGTTGACCAAAACAACAATTGTAGATCTTGATGAGTTGAACAAACTTGGTACTCAAAACTTTTCAATTTGAAGTCATTTAGAGTTCATAATACTAGAGTCAAAGTGTTGTTTTTCATTTGACCAAATTTGACTTGGTCAAACTTGCTCAAATGAGACACTAAATGACCTCAGATGAAAAAACTCTGAATACCAAGTTTGATCATCTCAGCAAGATCTACAATTGTTACATAGCTCATTTTCCCATTTGAGAAAGTTTTATCAAACACTAGTCATAAATTCTTGAATCTCATATAGACTTTCTGAAACTATGTCACACACTTGTGAAATTTGAACTATATTTTGTTCAAACTTTCTCAAATGAAAAAATGGCCTATATAAGGATTGTATATCTTGATGAGATGAACAAATTTGGTATTCAAAACTTTTCAATTTGAGACAATCTAGGGTTCCGAAAACTAGTTTGTAAACATCGAAATTTAAAAATCATAAATTTGAACCGTCCAAACTATCTCAAATGGAAAGTTGACCAAAACAAAAATTGTAGATCTTGATTAGTTGAACAAACTTGGTATTCAAAACTTTTCAATTTGAAGTCATTTAGAGTTCATAATACTAGAGTCAAAGTGTTATTTTTTCATTTGACCAAATTTGACTTGGTCAAACTTGCTCAAATGAGATACTAAATGACCTCAGATGAAAAAACTCTGAATACCAAGTTTGATCATCTTAGTACGATATACAATTGTTACATAGCTAATTTTCCCATTTGAGAAATTTTTATCAAACACTAGTCAAAAATTCTTGAATCTCATATAGACTTTCTGAAACTATGTCACACACTTGTGAAATTTAAACTACATTTTGTTCAAACTTTCTCAAATGAAAAAATAGCCTATATAAGGATTGTAGATCTTGATGATCTGAACAAACTTGATATTCAAAACTTTTCAATTTGAGACAATCTAGCCTATATAAGGATTGTATCTGTATCTTTATCTTATTTGTTGCTTTACTCTTTAGTCTTTCGGCTTAATCTAGATGGATTATGGACTCATAGAGTGGTGTAATGGTTTGCGCATGTATGATATATAGTATTTCTATATTATAACCTGGGTACTGAATATTAATGAGTACCCGAGCCTCCCACCGCGCGCCTGGCTCACCGTCCTCCGCAGACTCCGCGCGCCTACGTCAAGGGGTTTGGGGCGGCCTTCCGGCTCAGCCACCCGGCCCAGCCTTTCGATGACCGCTCCCCAACCCACTGCCCACGTTCTCTGCGGTTCAATTCCAATCAGGTCGATCCCGGCGCCGCTTCCCCGTTCTAATCTCGCACTCGAGTTGGTTTCAGCGGCCTCCGAAGCTCCCGCACGCCCCAGATCGCACGCCCCATATCACACAACCCGCGCCTCCGCAGCTCGCACACCCCAGGTCGCCGCCGCTCTCGCAGCACGAGTAGCTCGCCGTCGCCCTTCGCCCGTCCGGCGTCCGCTCGGTTTCGCCTGGAGCCGAGCTCACCGTTGCCTTCTTCAGTCCGGCGTCCGCTCGGCTTCACCTGGAGCGCGTGGGAAGCGTGGGAAGCGGCACCGCCTTCTCTCCATCACCGGCACCTCCCTTCCGACGCCATTTCACCTGGAGCACGTGGTCAGCGGGGGAAGCGGCGCCGTCTTCCCTCCATCGCCGGCACCTCCCTTCCGACGCCTCTCCCGCCGTTCCTCCCTCCAGCGCCGCCCGGTCGTAGAGGCAGCGCGCCCCCCGGTCGGACGTGCTCGGCTGGCCTTCTCCAGCGTCCCGCCCTGCCGTGTCGCCGCTCAGCGTTGTAAGAAGCAGTTCCTTTGCTATGCTGGCATCTCATTGTTTTCTAAAATGCAGTCAGCTGTACATTTTTAAGCTATACCATTGTGAGAAGAGTATTCAGATACATTAGTGCTTCCTTGATATGATCTTGTAAATTACAGGATAAACCAATAATTACCCCTATATCCGCCGTGCCGCCCCCCAGCGCCGTGCGGCCGTAGACGCAGCGCGCCGCCCGGCCGGGCCTTCTTGGCCGGCGTTCCCCAGCGTCCCGCCGCGTCTCCTCTCAGGGCTGTGCGGCCACAGACGCATCGCGTCTCCCGTCCTGGCGTTCTCGGCCGGCTTGCCCCTGCCACCGTACCTGCCGCGCCGCTCCCTGCGCTGTGCGTTCCCAGACTCATCGCGCCGGCCCTTGATTGCCGATTACACTCGTTGATTGCCGAGCTTGCATCATTTGGGATGGAGCCGCCTGGTCCCTCAGGTTTCCTTTATATCCTTATTCATGTATCTCGCTTTGTTGTTCCCATTAATTTTGTGTCAAATTGGTTTCACTATTAGATTCCCTGATATGGGTACTCTTTGTTAAAAGGCAAGCACATTATGGAAGTATGAAACTATACACCATGCTTTGTTGCTCCGAAGTCATTGAAAACAATGTGTGTTTCAATATTAGAACTTTAGAAGATGATATTATATTCAGCCTCAATCAATTACAGATATCCAGTTTTTAAGAAATAATATATTCTCCATAGTTGTGTTTAATCAGAATCACAGGTCCCTCAATTTCCATGTGAAATATTTTATTTACCATCATGAAGATGATATTATATTCAGCCTCAATCAATTACAGATATCCAGTCTTTAAGAAATAATATATTCTCCATACTTGTGTTTAATCAGAATCACAGGTCCCTCAATGTCCATGTGAAATATTTTATTTACCATCATGAACTAGTTGCTTCATTTGAAAAGAGTAACATATCATGTATTCAGTAGTTCAACAAGTGCTCCCATCAGTATTCATGTGTTCAATACCTTGGAATTAATAAACACAATACAGTAAATCCACAAGAAACTGCACAGCAATACATCTACCCTGAGTTCAGACATTAGTCACAGCTGTCTACCTCCAGTGATCTTTACTAAATCAGTAAATCATCTGTCAAATGTACAGGCCCAGCTATCAAATTATGAATGTCTCTGAACGCTCTAATATCCTTTTTACATAGCGTGGGTTTAGGATAGAAACTCAGCCTCTTAGCCCCTTAATTGAAGAAGCTACAATGTCTCACCCCACACATTGTCTTATAGCATCTATAATTTGAACCCTTCAAATTTATTTCTGAGTACAATATATAACTGCAGTTGTAAGCATGAGGTAGAGGCACAAAAACTTCCTATCGTTACAGTCTCACAAGTTAGATGGTCAAATACATGGATATGAACTTGACAAGATATTCTACCAGCGATCTTTATGTGGCATTCTAGAAATAGCAAGCAGGCTAGGCAGCTGACTTTTGGAAGTGTTTAGCTCTCAACATCAAGGTCTTCATTTTTATCAGTGCGGGTGTGCACTCAGCCCACCAGCCTGACTTGGTGCATCAGTAATCAGTTGCAAAGCATGTACCCACACTCTTTGAGACCTTAGATGCCTCTGATAAATTCGTATTGGGTTTAGGTGCACATGTACATGGGTGGTGATGGTACAGTGTTGTGTGTTTTTGCTGCTGTGTGTATGCCTCTATACTCAATTAGTGTCTTAATAAAAAGAAGACATAAGACAGATTAAACCACACACATTGATTCAGCTTTGCATTGTTTTTATTTGTTCAGATCATACACGTATTTTTTATTTATGGCGTCATTATAGTTTAATAAAGCAATTCTATTTATTCTGCATTTGCAGACCCATGCTGGAAAAGGTCCTGATTCACATTGACTCAGCAGTTGCAACTACATTGTTCTGTGGAGTGAGCTTGTAAATTTAAGTTTGAGAGTATCTGAATGCAGTATTCTAAATGCATTCTAAATCATTGACTTCAGAATCCGGTTGGAGCTAGTTGATAAGATGCCTGACAACCCAAAAGGCTTGTATTTGAGAGCACTCAACAGCGGTCAGTACATGTTTTTTTTTTAATTTTAGTGGCCTTTTCCATTTGTTGTATCTGCTTTTTTCTCTCAGTTAATGTGATAATTTCCCATTTAGGTATGAGGTCCCTTTGCCACAAGGCGAGAGGTTACCCTCCTCTCCTGGTAGAACATCTGCATCGGCTTCACTAAATAGAGGTGCAAAGGGAATGGCTGTACTATAATTTTAATCTGTTGCAGTATGGAGTTAGTATTTTACAAATGACTAGACAAAATTAGATACATTCATTTATAGCTTATCTAATCTTGTTTATGATTTTTTTATTTATATTTATATGATCTGATGTATGTACACATAATTTGAGAATAATTTAATATTCATGGATTTTAAATTTTGCTATCTTAAATTTCCATTATTCTTTTGATTCCACTTGGCTTGTCCTTTTGTTAATTAACACTTTTCATCTTGTTCTGAAAGCTCACAAGATTCTTCTATTCTTAAAATCATCTACCTTTGTTGTTTATTATTTTCCTTTTCTGGTCCTTTTGGTATTCAGATGCAAGTCATCCCCTTCTAAGAACCCTTGGTAGCTTTCTACTTCTCGTGACCACTCATAGGAGCATGAGGATCGTTAACTTAATACTACCAAAACAGCTTGAAATTGTTTTTCATTCTACCTTCAAGGTGTTTTCCACTTTTTAAATAGTTTTACTTTACCTGTGATAATGCACCTAGTCCTATGTCTTCCCATGCATTTCTTGAAAGCTTGAAATACCCATTGAATGTTTCTATTGTCTCATCGCCTAACAGCGCACATCCAAAATATGTGTTCTGTAGGTGATGGTTTGCACCCACAAACATAGCTAGTGGCTTCTCATATATATTTGTCTTGTGCGTGGTGTCGAATGTCATCACATCTCCAAAATCAATATATTCTGCCTGCATGCTAGCGTGACTCCAGAATAAGCTATGAATCATCCCTTCTTTATCGATCTTGACATACCAACAAAATTGTGGGTTCTGCGCCTTGCAGTCTTCAAAAATTCTAGAAGCTTCATGAATGTCATTGGCATGTTCTGCCCTCACATTAGCCGCCTTCCTGAAAAATTTGTTACTATTACACAGATGTAATCGACAGTACCTATTTACTGGATGGTATAAGAGTTGGCACACACTGACCTGTTCTCAAGATCCCGCCTGGTCATTGGCACGTTCTCACCTCCCCCATGCATGTCCCTAACAATGTTCTGTATACTATGATGCGGGACATCCGCTGCTTGGAGGTCATCAACAAACTCAAGTAATACCGGATCCTTTTCCTTGTGTGATCTCATATTTATTATTTCTTCTTTCTTTTTAAGACATGGATGGTTATGCATTAGATCCACTTGCTCAATCACCACTGATATTTCATTCTTGTTTTCATCATAAATTCTTTTAAGCTTCATCTTCGACATGCAGTGTGTCTTCTTTGTGGTATTGTTCCTAACACGCAGCTCCTCATTTTTTTTAAAGTAAGTATGAACCCCCTCATTGCTGCACTGTATAATATATGAATATGTTTTACTGTTTCCATAGCTCAAATTGAATCCAACCTCCTCGGCATACGCTTCATAGAAAGCCCTGGCCTCTTTTCGGTTTCTGAATGACATCCCAGGCCTAGGAATGAGGGCAGGATCAATGTCTTCTTTCTGCATACAACATATGCAATTAGATATTTCCATTTTCCACCAAGAGGCAATGCAAAATTGCTCGAATTTTTATCTCAGTCAAAATAGATTACAGTGAATTTCGGCCTATATAAGACCTCAACATGTCTGGTTCCTCAATCTAAATATTGTAAGCATGCACATTACAGCTTATGTCAAGTTTGTACATTTACTTTTTTTCATTTTTTCTCAAGTCTGAATACTTCTCAGCTCTATTTTCTGAATCCCATCATCACAACTTTGATCATTTGGTAATTTTGAAACCTAATTTTATTTCATATTCACATAGCATAATCTTCGAACTTCTTATTCAAATGTCACAAACAAGCTACTCACATGGGTGTACTTCTTTTCGGCATCTGGTGTAGCGTTCTCGCTTTCTGTAACTATTGCCATTGGTGAGAACATGCCTCTGCTGGATGATGTTCCGGCTTCTGAAATGCCAGCCACAACATCCTCGTTACGGCCTGGTGTGCACGATGATGTTCCACCTTCTGAAATGCATGCCGGTAACCCATCGTGATCTTGTTCTGATCTTCCATCTGCCACAGCCACATTAGTTGTGTGCATTGTCTGCGATGCTGACGATTCAGTCACAACCCCTTTACAATTGCTCTTCTCTCCAAACAGCTGCTTCCGGCAACCCATTCTGATTTAATAACTTTACTGACTAGTGGCGAAGCTTCGATTCATTCAAATAATCATTAATAATCAGTACCCTGGGTGCTAACTAGCGCAGTCCTATATATATATATATATATATATATATATATAGCTGTTTTTACTTAATATCCGAATAGATATTTGTATCCGACCTTCTCCGAATCCGATTCATACCGTATTCGATACTCATTATTCGTATCCGTAACCGAGTCAATCCGTATTCGTATATGTATCCGAACGCTATCCGTGTCCGAATCCGAATCCGAACATAAATATGAAAACAAATATAATATGAGTGATATCCGTTCGTATCCGATCCGTTTTCATCCCTACATGGGAGGCTCGGGACTGGGAGCCGTGGCCCGTGGCCGTAGGTGTAAATAGTTAGTGGTGTGGCTGTGCCCCGCCGCGCACGCGCACCATTCAATGAGGCCGTGGGCGTTGCACTTGCACACCGCCCGCCTGCTCGCGCATCCCCGCGGCTGGACTGGATGCATGCTGGTGCAGCAGAAGGAAATTTAAGGAACACGTCATAAATGGCATGATCCGATAGTGCCAGAGACAGGAAGAACGAGACAGAGAAGGATTCCGTGGCTCTACTCGCCCAGCCAGCAGCCGAGTAGCGGTCCCAGCATGTTCTCGTAAATTTCCAGCCATACTTCCTCACGGACCAGCGACCAAACGAACCAGGTTACTGTGGTCTGCGGCGGATACGCGCTGGCGCTGCGGTGGATGGATTGGAACGGAGGAGATCAGACGGTGGAGGAACGGAGCGCAGTCACCGAGCGCGAGGCCTGCCAATTTACTCCCCTTCACTTCATCTCGTGTGACCGCGAGCCCGCCTCGCCTGGTCCTCACGAGACCTCCCACGCTCGGTGCTCCCACTGCACGCCGCTTCAAATACGACACCAAACGAACCCAGCTGCCTCGTCTTCGTCTCCCAACCATCGCAAACCAGATCAGTTGGCAGCAGCAATGGATGTCACCAGGGTGTTACTAGTCTGCCACTCGTTGTTCTGGCTGCTGCTCCTTCCGGCGGTCGTCCTCGGTGCCGCCGCGGAGACGATGCAGACCTACATCGTGCAGCTGCACCCGCACGACGAGGGCGACAGCGGCGAGGCCATGCTCTCCGCCTCCAAGTCCAAGCACGACTGGCACCTCTCCTTCCTCGAGAGGTCCGTGGCGTGGGAGCAGGAGAAGCGCCCCTCCTCGCGCCTCCTCTACTCCTACCACACCGTGTTCGACGGCTTCGCGGCGCAGCTCGCGGACGGCGAGGCCGCGGTGCTGCGTGCGCTCCCGGGCGTCGCGTCGGTGCGCGCCGACCGGCGGGTGGAGCTCCACACCACCTACTCGTACCGCTTCCTGGGGCTCAACTTCTGCCCCATCGGCGCGTGGGCGCGGTCCGGGTACGGCCACGGCACCACGGCATCACGGGCCGCGCCGATAAAGGCGAGGCAGTAAAAGAAGCAGGCAGCGCAGCCATGGTGCTCGCCAACTCCGAGATAAACCGGTAGGAGGACTCCATCGACGTCCACGTCCTGCTAGCGACGCTCATCGGGTACCAGGAAGCCGTGGAGCTGAAGAAATACATCAGATCGACGCCGCGGCCAGTGGCGAGGATAGTCTTCGGCGGCACGCGCGCGCTCCGGCGGTGGCCGTGTTCTCCGCGCGTGGGCCGAGCCTGACGAACCCGTCGGTGCTGAAGCCCGACGTGGTCGCCCCCAGGGTGAACATCATCGCGGCGTGGCTCGGGAACCTGGGCCCGTCGGGGCTGGAGAGCGACGCCCGCTGGTCCAACTTCACCGTGCTCTCGGGGACATCGATGGCGGCGCCTCACGTGAGCGGCATCGCGGCGCTGATCCCGTCCGTGCACCCATCCTGAAGCCCCGCGATGGTCTGGTCCGCGATCATGACCACGGCCGAGATAACCGACCGGCAGGGGAAGGCGATCATGGACGGCGGAGGCGACGGCGGGCGCGCCGGCGTGTTCGCCATGGGCACGGGGCACGTGAGCCCGGGGCGCGCCGTCGACCCGGGCCTCGTATACGACATCCAGCCCGCCGAGTACGTGACGCACCTGTGCACGCTCGGATACACCCACCTGGAGATCTTCAAGATCACCCACACCGGGGTCAACTGCAGCGCGGCGCTCCGCGGGGACAGGAACAGGGGCTTGTTCAGCCTCAACTACCCGTCGATCGCGGTGGCGCTCAGGAACGGCGCCAGGTCGGCGGTGCTGCGGCGGACGGTGACCAACGTCGGCACGCCCAACTCGACGTACGCCGTGCAGGTGTCCGCACCGTCTGGAGTGAAGGTCACGGTGGCGCCCACGACGCTGTCGTTTGTGGAGTTCAGCGAGCAGCGGAGCTTCCGAGTGACCGTGGACGCGCCGTCGCCGCCCGCGGCGAAGGACAGCGCCGAGGGGTACCTGGTGTGGAAGCAGAGCGGGGGCCAGGGGAGGCACGTCGTGAGGAGCCCCATCGCCGTGACCTGGGTGGTGGAGTAGCGGTCGCAGCTGGCTCGTCCCTAGCTAGCTGGTGTAGACGTGTAGTGTAGTGCCCTCTGTATCAAGCTCCTGTATAAGGTTCGTTGGTTCCTGCGGCGAGCGGCAAACCTGACTCTTTTACCGCATCAGAGGCAGCGAGTTTACAGTAGCTGAATTTGCGAGTCGAGGTGTATAAACACAGGATTCCTAGTTCAGTTGGGTGAAAGTGTGATTTCAATGCTGGAAAGCGAGATTACGTAGAAGTTATAATGAAATACGATCTTGATCGAAAAAAATGGGACATCTTGAACCGTAAGTATTTGATGGTGTTCAAGTCCACTATCTTAGATGCTATAAGAGGATTAATCCTAAATTGTGATACTGCCACCGAGTATCTTAAGAAAGTGGAGAGTTAGTTTACTGACTCTTCAAAGGCTTATGCAAACATTTTGATAAAGAAACTATTCAATAAAAAATACTCTGGTGAAGGTATAAAAGAACACATATTGAACATGAGCCACATGGCTTCGAAGCTGAAGCTAATGGATTTGAGGCTCAAGGATGAGTTACTGATTCATTTGGTTTTTGCTTCTTTGCCAAAGGAACATGAAACTTTTGTTGTTAACTATAACATGCAGCTCGGCAAGTGAGACATAGAGAAGCTCATCGCAATATGTGTTCAAGAAGAGGAGATGCTGAAATCTTTACAGGGTGACTCTGCTAACCTTGTGAAGGACACGAAAAAAAACTTAAATAAGAATACCAAACTTCAAAGGAAAGCCCCTCAGACTGAGTATCATCAGAAGAATAATACTCAAGTTGAAAAGGATCCGTACAAATGGTGTAAGAAGCACGGACACTACCAGAGGGACTGTCCAGACTTTCTGAGGATCCTTCTGAAGAGAGGTGAGAATTTTATTATATTCATAGATGAATCCTTATATTTAAGTTATGCAAAATCTACTTGGTGGATTGATTCAGGTGTAACTGTTCATGTTACAAGTTCATTACAGGAATTTCGTATGAGAAGGACCCTGTAAAGAGGAGAAAGAAAAATTAAGTAGCAAATGGAGTTGAAGCTGAAGTTGTAACCATTGGAGATCTTTCTCAAGAATTAGTTGATGGTTTTCTACTTAAGCTTTCAGATGTTCTATTTGTATCCTCTTTGCGAAGAAAATTAATTAGTGTTTCATGTTTAGATGACGATGAATATGATTACCATTTTGGGTAATGGCAAATGTCATATTGTTTATAATAATAAATGTGTTGGTCTTGCCTTTCGATAAAGGTTTTATTTATTATCACTTTCTGAGAATGTGAATGATGTAAGTACTCAGAATGAGAATGTTTCCTCGTCTATGAATGCAACAAATAAGCGAAAGGGAGTGCATGATGTATCTTCGAAATTATGGCACTGCCGTTTATGTCATATTTTTAGGGGGAAAATAGAGCGATTGATTAAGAAATCAATTCTTCCACCTTTAAAATTTTCAGATTTAGAACAATGCATAGATTGGATAAAAAGAAAGTACGTTAAGAAAATAAAGAAAGATACCAAACAAAGCGTAAGAATTTTAGAAATAGTTTACATAGACATTTGTGGTCTTTTTTTGTGAAGAGTATGGATGGTTATGATTCATTCGTAATATTCACAGATGATTATTCTCGTTTTGGCTATATTTATTCAATTAAAAAAAGATCGAATGCATTGGATAAATTTAAAATATTCAAGGCTGAAATTGAAAATTAGTACAATTTAAAGATTAAGATGGTAAAGTCCGACCGTGGGAGAGTACTACGATTGACACACCCCATATGGCCAAGTTCCTGGACCCTTTGCATGGTTCTTACAGAAAAATGACATAGTAGCCCAGTATTCTACACCGAGCGAGCCTTAGCAGAACGGAGTAGTTAAAAGACGCAACCATACCTTAATGGATATGGTGAGAAGCATGATAAGTTACTCTACCTACCGATAAGTTTATGGATGGAGACGTTAAAAACCACAATTCATATACTTAATCGAGTGCCAAACAAGTCGGTGCCCAAAACACCGTATGAGTTGTGGACAGTATAAAGAAAATGGATCATTGGACCATAGGCCCAAGCAAGTGATTATTTTATAATTCAATAGGGAGCAAGACGAGACTTGGATGAAAACGCCGTAATGATCCAATGATCAACACGATAAGCAAGACCTTAAAAGCAGAAGAGAAGACCCAATATATCAAGCAAAGTCCAAGCACGAATATAGGAACCAATCCGAACGCAAGATCATGAAGAAACGTGCTCACAGAGGTGACCGGACGCTGGACCGGACGCTGGCGGAAAGTGATCGGACGCTCCGATCAAGTAACTCCCTACAGCAGGCGTCAGCAGCAGCGACCGAACATTGAATAGTAAAGCGACCAGACGCATTGATGGTACTGTTCATCATCACCGGCAACACATTCAGTACTGACTGGACGCTGGCGACAAATCGACCAGATGCGGGACTGCAGCGTTCGATCGAGTACAGAGAGGTTCCAAAGCGGCGAAATTACGACTAGACGCGTCTAGTGGCATGTGACCGGAAGCTGGCAGCGTCCAATCAGTTGATCGTGGCTCTAACGGTCGGGACGACCGGACGCGTCCGATCAGAATGACCTGAGCGTCCGGTCAATAGCAGAAAAGCGGGATTTTATCCCCAACGGCTACTTTCTCAGTGGGGCTTATAAATAAACCCCTCAACCGACCATTTAAAAAGAGTGGAGCCAAGGAGACATACCAAGGGTGTTGATATACAGTTTTAGTAATCTCCACCTACATAGCGCCTAGTGTTTTATTCGGTGATTAGCGTAGGTGCTTTACGAAGTGCTTAGGTTGATTAGACCACCGCTTATGCGCTTGCTCTTGGTTTAGGCTTAGTGTTTAGTGAGGTTTACGTATCTTTTAGCACTCGGTGCTTGCGTGCACCATTGTTGTACATCGGAGGGGTTTGTAGTCTTGCGAGATCACACCAACCGCGTTTGTGGTGTGGCCGCCACAGTGTATCGAAGGCAATAAGGCCCGTGGCGTTTCAGCCGGAAGCTTGATAGTGAAGACGGCGGGGAGCATCTGGGAGAGGCTTGCTGAAAGGCACGTCGGAGACCCACTTGCACGTGGGGAAGGCCCAAAGCTATCCACGGGGTTACCCGACCGGGAGCTTGGCCCTTGCGAGAGATTCCTTACGAGGGGCTCCAACGAGGACTAGGGGGAAGCTTGCGCGCTTCTCGATACCTCGATAAAAATACCGGAGTCGTCGATGGGAGTTTGCATATCTCTACCTGCTTTTTAGCTTTCACATTTATATTGTTTACATTACTCCTTTTGAGGTAGAAATAGCAACACTCTAGCAAAATCATATTTGTACATTTAGATAGTTTATCTTTTGCATAGGTTTTGCTAAAGTTACAAAAAGAGGCCGTACTTTAGAAGTTGAATTTTAAGTTGCCTAATTCACCCTCCCCTGTTAGACGTCATGGTCCTCTTCAAACAGGAAAGGAACCCTCACTTAAGTATTTACGTGTGTGGAGTTATCCAGCTAAGGCAAAAGTTTTTGACCCAAACATAGGGATGCTAGACTCCAAGACAGTCAGTTGCTATTTCATTGGTTATCCAGAAAAGTTAAAAGGTTATCGCTTCTATTATCCTGACAGACAAACGAAGTTTGTAGAAACAAGACATGTTGTCTTCTTGGAGGATGATATGAACAGGGGGAGCATGGTAGGGCGAGAAATTAGTTTTGAAGAGAAGCGAGTATATGTGCCCACTCCTATGGTTCAGGAGCCATTCTTTACGCCACCTGTTGTTGCTGTACCAACAGTGCAAGACACTGTATTAACAACACCTATTGTTAGTTCTCCTATGACAACAATGAATGAACATGAGAAACCTGTCCTTCAGGATCCCCAAGAACACGTTGTCACACATGAGGAAGAGCAACAACAGCCTCATATAGAACAAGCGTCATCTCACGAGGCCCCTAGAAGGTCTCAAAGAGTCAGGAGATCAGCCATTCCTGATGACTATGAAGTTTATGAATGTGAAAATTTTCAAATGGAGAGTGATCCCACCTCATTTGAAGAAGCCATAAGAAGCGCTCAATCATCCAAGTGGCTTGAAGCCATGGAAGATGAAATGAAATCAATGAAAACCTACGGTGTTTGGAACTTAGAAATAATTCCTATAGGAACCAAGACAGTAGGCTGTAAATGGATCTACAAAACTAAACATGGCTCCAAAGGGAATATAGAAAGGTTTAAAGCGCGACTTGTGGCGAAAGGTTTCACGCAAAGAGAAGGCATAGATTATAATGAGACATTTTCTCTAGTCTCATGTAAGGATTCTTCTAGAATCATAATGGCGCTTGTAGCATATTATAGTTTAGAATTACATCAGATGGATGTAAAGACGGCGTTCCTAAATGGGAATCTGGATGAAAATGTTTACATGGCACAACCGAAAGGTTTTGTTGTGAAAGAAAAATAACATATGGGATGCTACCTGAAGAAATCTATTTACGGATTAAAACAAGTTTTAAGACAGTGGTATTTGAAGTTTGATAGTATAATAAGAAAGTTTGGGTTTTAAGAAAATATAGAGGACAATTGCGTTTATGCAAAGTTAAAGAATAGGAAATACATTTTTCTAGTCTTGTATATGGATGACATCTTGCTCGTTAGCAATGATGTTAATCTACTACTAGAAATAAAGAAGTTTTTGTCCTCAAAGTTTGATATGAAGGATCTCTGTGAAGCTTCGTTCGTCCTAGGAATAGAGATTCATCAAGTCAGAGAAAAGGGGGTTTTAGGATTATCACAAAAGGCATACTTAGAAAAAGTTTTGAAGAAATACAGTATGCAAAATTGTAAGTCTTTACCTGCTCCCATAGTCAAGGGCGATAGATATAGGGAATTTCAATGTCCCAGAAACCAATATGAGATCGATCAAATGAAAGCGGTTCCATATAGTTCAGCTGTCGGAAGTTTACAGTATGCTCA